AATCCTAGTTGTTTTAGTAGCACTATATATATGAGTTGTACATGTTCACAAGCCCACCAGCAGTGTGTAAGATTTTCAGTCTCTCTGCAATCTCTCCAGCATTTGTTGTTCTCTGTGAGTGTAAGGTGATAATTTGATGAAGTCTTTTGAAATGCATAGGTGTTTTATTTTTAGTAGGGCCATGCCATCTATTTTGTCTTCTACTTTGTGTGCTTCCTTGTTTATATTTAGTAGTATGTGTATGCCCTGAAGTAGAGCCCTCACGTTTGTCCCAATCTTCTCATTAATAATTATAGCTCTGGGATTCGTACTTAGGTCTCTGATTTATCTTGAGTTCATTTTTGTGCATGTAGAAAAGTAAGAGTCCTGTTTCTTTCATGTGCAGCTAAAGATCCAATTTTGCCAGCACCATTTGTTGAAGAGGCTGTCTCTTTCACATTTAATTTTTTGGCCATTTGTTGATAACGATTTGTGTGTGGGTGCATACATTTATTTCTGGAGTTTCTAATCTGTTACATTGGTCTATGTATCTATGATGGTACCAGTAGCAGGCTGTTTTGACTTCTGTGGCTGTGGAATAAGGTTTGAGGTTGGGTAGTGCAATGCCTCTTACTATACTCATATGCTTCTATTTGAATTAGAGTTGCATTGTACTTATAGATTGCTTTAAGTAGTATTGACATTCTCACAGTGTTAAGTCGTCTTTTCCATGAACACAAGCTATCCTTCCATTTGGGTAGGTCTCTTTTGATTTCTTGTAATAATGTTCTGTGGTTTTCTTATTCTGAGATTAAAAAGGATTATTCTTGTTCTGAGATTTCCTCATGTATTGGAATCCAATGGATTTCTGTTTGTTAATTTTGTATCTTGCTACTTTGCCAAATTCCTAAATTATTTCCAACAATCTTTTTTGGAGTCTTTTGGATCATCTACATATAAAATCATATCATATTCAAATAGTAAGACTTTCATTTCTTGTTTGCCCAGTTGTATTCCCTTCATTTCTTTCTGTTGTTTAATGTTTCCGACTATGTCTTCCAGGACAATGTTGAATAAGGAGCATTCTTATCTATTTCTTGTTCTCAGAGGAAGTATGTTTCGTTTATCCCTGTCAAATCATTGGCCATTGGATTTTTCAGATATAGTCTTTACTCTTTTGAGAGATTCCCCTTTTATTTCTATTTTGTTGAGTGCTTTTATCAGAAACAGGTTTTGGCTATTGTTAAATGATTTTTCTGTATCTGTTGTTATGATCATGTGGTTCTTATTTGTGGGGGACAGGCCTTCATCACTAAATGGGTCCTAAGGGGTGGTTGTATCATTGAAGTGATTAGAGAAATTTCTCCTAGGTTAACAAATTTGTTGAAATATAGTCTTTCATAATAGTGTATGATTATTCTTTTTATTTCATTTAGATCTATTGTGATGTCTTTTTCATTTGTAATTCTATATATTTACAACGTATTTTTCTTTCCCTTTGTTAAATCTGTGAACACCCTGTCAATTTTGTTACTCCTTTCAAAGGATCAACTTCTTCTTTTTTATATATATATCTTTTTTTAGGAGCTCATACAACTCTTCATTGATTTCTTGCTTATAACAGATCTCATTATGGATAGGATTATATTAACATTGGATCTCATCATGGAGGATGATTACATGATCACATAATAACCAAACAGAAGATTATGGCCCTGCCAAGTTGTTGTACAACCTTATCCACCACAATGACTGCCTTTTCGAAGTGACCCTAGTCAAACTACTACTTGTTTTTCCCTTTGGGGAGATAATTTTGACTCCCTGGCTTTTATAAAAACTAACGAGATTTTTGAAACAAAAAGAAAACTCCATGGAACAAATGAAACAATAACTATAATAAGTCTCTTCAAAAAGTCAAACCTTAATTTATGTATTTAGATACTAATACCTAGGATTCAAAAATAAAATAGTCCTATATAAATTATTTAGCTTATGAATTTGAAGTATCAATTCAGAAGGTAATAAAGCTATTTAAATTAATCCTTCCTTGCTGCAGTCTAATTGTTGTTCAGTGTTTCAGTATGACATATTGGAGGGGACTTTAAAAAATAATGGAAAATGTAATTAAAAGATAATGCACTTTTTCCATGAACTGTTTAAAGCCCCTTTGAATGTAGATGCACTTTTATATATCCACATACCCTCAAGAAATACATATTTAAATGGTTACAAAGTGAAGATGGTGACATTTACATTGCATTAACATCAAAAATGAATTAAAATGTGCTTGCAGTACATGGTTTGGACTAGCTAAGTCTCTTGTAAGACTGGTTAAAGACTGCATAGGACAGCAAAGGAAGTTTATGGAATCACCTTCTACATGGAATCACTTCTGACTAGAGTCAAGGGCTGTGAATAGGTTTGCTATCAGACAAAGAGCATTGTAAAGTTAATTACTGCAAATGTAGTTAGGTTAAAAAGTAATACTATCATTTGATCGCCCCTTTGACCCATTTTAAAATTTTGGCTTTTAATATGCTTTGCTCTCTTTTTGATTGAGTTTTTCTTTGTTTTGTCATTCTTTTGTGTTTGTGTTTTATATGGTTTTCTGTACATGTAACACAGGATAGATAAATCTCTTTAGATAGTAACTGGATTAATAATGACCTAGGGCATGGTAGGGGAGACTGAGGGGGAATGGGGGTGTTAGCAGCAACGAGTACAAGAAAAAAAAAATCTGAAATTAATTGTGGCTATGATTGCACAATTCTTCTTAATATGATTAGAAACATTAAATTGTACGCTATGTGAATTCTATGCCAATAAAACAATGAAGAAAATAAATCAGAAATCCATAGGCTCTTTTATTTTCTAGGTTTCTACATAGATTGTAACGGACAAATTGAAACATCTAACGGACAAATTGAAACATCAAGAATATACAAAGTGACCAGTGGCTGCCTCAGTCTCTTTTTTCACTCATCTTCCTCTTAGTTACATCCGCAGACTACTTTATTCACCACACAACTTAAGTTGAGGACAAGGAGTCTTTCCTTGCCTCTTTTGTAGAGTATGGCATAAATAGTGGTAAGCTATTAATTAAAGTGGAAATAACATTTACCTTTTCATCGTGAGGTGGATCCAGGAAAGAACTGATACTGCAAAGGATCACATGTCCTTCTGTGTAAAATTTAAACATATAACAAATTGGAATCTTTAATTAGATATCCAACTATCTACACAACTATTACCCAGATTGCCACATAATTTTGATTCAGGTATTTTAAATCTCATGATTTAATATGAGGAACCAGAAAGTAAAAAAAATTATATACCAACTTCTGTGTGCAGCAATTCTTCTTTGTTTCAGGCTTAAAAAGATATAATGAGATTGCTTTATCCATGCAGAGTGAAAGTTCTTACAGAGGTCAGGCTAGATTAACAGAAATGCATAGGCCACTACCAAATAGTATCCAAACTGTTTACAAAGAAACATATTCTTCCCACAACCCCAATAATGCTTATGAAAACTAAAAAATTTTAAGCAACAGTTAATAGTGTCCTGGATGTCTGTTTTAAGACAGCCCTCATAAAAGTTGTAACATCGATTGAGGCTGAGAAAAGGGAAGCTTAGGGCCAGAGTCTAGGAAGATCAAACCAAAGAATCAAATTCTTTCCTGTCCAGTCTATTCTGACTCATGATGACCTTGTAGGGCAGAGTAGAACAGACTCCTGTGGTTTCCAAGAATGTAATATTCACAGAAACAGACTGATACATCTTTTTCCCACCGAGTGACTGATGGATTCAAATCAACAACCTTTCAGTTAGCAGTTGAGTACTTTAACCACTACACTATCAGGATGCTCCTTTAATTATATGGATGAGACTGGATTGGCTCCTAAGTCCACACTCCATCTATTTGTCTTTTTCTTTACAAAATGTTTTTATTGTGAATTAGGTGGGGGTTTATGTATCATCATTTTTTAATTCAACAACTTAAGCAATTTATCAATACTTCCCATGGCTCATCTTATTCCCCCGCCCCCCCCCACTCCACCTACCTTTTTGCCCATCTCCCTTTGGTAGGATATTGTTTTTCCTTCCCCCAAGTTAACACCTATCTATACTCTAGCTTCCTTTCCCTTCCCACTCCCCTCCTTTCCCTTCCCACCACTGGTAACCATCAAAGTCTGTTTCTTTATGTATGACAGTCTCTTCTTGATTTTCTTTTTATCTTTTGTGATTGACTAACTTCACTCAGCATCAAGTCTTCCAAATCCATCCATGACATAAAGTGTTTCCCAGTTCCATCATGATCTTTTAATGATACATGATATTTTAATAATAAAAATATACCAAAGTTTATTTATCTATTCTCCCATCAATAGGCATTTAAGTTGTTTCTATTTTCTTGCTATTGCAATGAATAAGGGTGTGTATATATTTATGCTATTTTCCTTATTTCTGTCGGTACATACAAAGTAGTATATTTGCTGTGTCACATGTTATTTGTATTCCCAATTATTTAAGGAAATTTCATACATCTCTCCAGAGTGTTTGCACTGATTTATAGTCCCTCCAGCATCTCATTATCTTCAATAATGCCCACAAAACACAAATAATTAATGGGACCAATTGTTGAGGCTTTTGGGGAATAAATTTGAAATGAGAAAAATATTCTTAAAAGAGAAGATGTAAAATATAAAATCTTTTGAGGATGTAATCTGAATATTATGTTATCAAACAGCAATAAGTCAAAGAGTGAATGTGGAGTAAAGACAAAATTCACATGAACTAAGATTTTGGTCTCAGCTGAAAATGTGCTGTTTCACTTAAATTCTAAGAAATTAGCTGATGATTTTGAAATACTTAAACACTATTAAAATTACAAACTACTTATACACGTGGACACAGTCTTTTAAGGAACAACAATAAAAAATAAACTCATCGTTGCAAGATAAATCTGGCTTAGAGCAACTAAGCTCTACTTAGTTTTTTATAAGGTCTCATTATAGGACAAAATAGAACTGCTCCTTTGATTTTCTGAGACTTTTAAATCTGTGGAAATAAGACGACCTTATCTTTTTCACAAGAATCATCTGATGAGTTTGAAACTCTGATCTTGTGTTTAGCAGCTCAATATAAAGCCCACTATGCCACTAGAGCTCTTTTTCAATAAGCACGAGAGAGAGAAACAAAGAAAATGTAAGCATCAATTAAAAAGAAAAAAGGAAAGAAGCCCTGATGGTGTAATGGGTTACACATTGGACTGCTTACTGCAAGGTCAACAGTTCAAAACCACCACTTGTCTCCCTGGGAGAAAGACAAGGCTTTGTACTCCTGTCAATAGATACAGTCTTGGAAACCCACCCACAGAGGCAGTCCTATTCTGTCCTAAAGTGACACTACAAGTCCACATGGACTTGACAGCAATGAGTGGAGTGAGTGAGTGAGTGACTAGCTGAAAGATTGTTGGTTTAAACCCACTGAAATGCCAACACTGCTCCCTCGGTATTGGATGAATCCATTCTCCTACTTCATCTGACCTAACTGCCTTGGCCCCAACAGGTCTCTTAAAGCATGGTAGTTGCCATCCCTCAGTTTGGAGTATTAGCCTCATCTTAATGCAGCTCCATACTGGAAAGAAGGTGGTAAAGAATGAACTCTTTGAAACAGAGAAAACTTCAAACTTAGATACTGCAGAAACCAGTACTCGGTGTGCTAATTCCTTGGAAGTCACAGCCCTGCTCTGAAATGGAGGCGGCTCTGTTTCCTCTGTTCCTTGTCTCTGCAGCTTCGGCTTCTTGAGTACGTGGTCTCTTGCACATGTTTACGTGGACTCTGCCCTGCGTTCAAGTAAGGGGTAAAGTTCTTTAGCTCTAACATTAAGTACTCAAAGGTGCCCCATTCCAACAGGAAGCATCCTGCCTAAAGGTGCTCATTTCTGTCACTCTATTTTGGCTTTTATCATGCTGGTCATCTGGTTTAATTGTCATTTTTCTGCTGCGCCTTGCCATCTGTGGTGTTATAGCACTCTAACTCTTTTGAGTCCTCAACAGAAAGCCATAGCTTCACCAACAGTCACTTCAAGGCAATCAAGGTTTTTACTATTAGTCACTTTAAAACCCATGATCCAATTCCAAATCTGCATCCACACTTTAGTTATCTGTTAGAACAGCACCTCATTCTTGGAACCAAATTCTAACTTCGTTACCTAGTGCTGCTATAACAGAAATATTGCAAGTAGATGACTTTAACAAATAGAAACATATCTTACAGTGTAGGAGGCTCAATTGACTCACTGCTTTTGAGTTGATTCTAACTCAGGACTGATAGTGATCCTTAAATAGAGCTGCCCCCTAGGATTTCCAAGACTGTAAATTATTAAGGGAGCAAGCAGCCGCATCTTTATCTCATAGGTGTGAACTTGAACCTCCATTAGCAGTCTGGAAAGAAGTTCGTGAAGATCCAACTAGGTGCCACCGGGGCTCCAGATTCTTGGTACCAGTTCTAGAGGAAAGGTTTCCTTCCTTGAGGATGATGGCCCTTGTCTCCTTTCAGTATCTGTATCTGACATCCTTGGAGATCTCTGTGTGTCTTTCATAAAGTCCCCTTGGATCTAGGAAGATCCTTGCAGAGGGATCTGGGTCCAGAGGCCATATTTAGATTGTAGCTCATTTTTCTTGGTAATTATAAGTTCTTTTTTCTCTGCTCACTTTTTAAAACTTCTTGTAAGATAAAAGGTGTTGCAAGCCACACCACAAGGAAACTCTCCTTATATAGTATCAGGGCTGTGAGGGGATTAATGATGTTGCATCCACATTTAATTCTTTTATAATGTGATTTGCTTATCACACAGGATCACAGTATGGGGATCATTATTTATTTGTGGTCCTGCCGAGTTGACCCATATTTTGGGGGACACAATTCAACCCATTATAGTAATTGGTAAACAACAATAACATGATAGTTATAAGATATATAAAATTATTAAAGTCCCCTAATGAGAACAAAATGGCCTATTTTCCTGTCTACTTCATGTCACAACTATATCTAGTAATAAACACAATCCTTTCAAGATTAAAAAAATATAAAAAATTTAATACTAATTTTTTGTTGTATTAATACATCTTCGATGTAAGTTAGGGTAAAGGGATGAGTAGCAATGCATTGAAATAAATATTGGAGAAATAAAATGTCTTCTCTACATAAAAAAAAAACTAAGAATGGAATTAGAAATGAAATAGATGCACTCTTCAATTTATTTAGCAGTGATGATATTACATCTCATGCTTGAATGTCTTTTTTTGTTTCAACAAATGTCATGTTTCTCCTATAATAATTTTTATATTATGTAAGTTAAGATAGCTCCAGCTGAATAAGATGAATGACTTACCTACATTTCCAGCCAATAGTATCCTAGTACATGAATCAGTATACAGTGATGTCAAAGAAATAGCAGAATGCTTTGTGAAAGGTAGCATATCTTTCAGTAATCTTCCCTGAATAAAGAAGAATGTAAATAGATTTTTCTATGATTGTAAATTATACAGAATCTTAAAATTATAGGTAAATCTCTGTATAGCTATATTGGAAGAATGATCTCTAATCTTGAACCATGTCACTCTCTTCTTTGTAATAAAAATAATTTGAAACTACGTGTAAGCACTTATCATTTTGAGATTCTTATAAAACTATAAACCCCATTGCTGTTGAGTTGATTCAAATTTATGGCAACCTCATGTGTCACAGATTTTCCATAAAGTTTTCTTGGCTGCAATCTTTAATGAAGTGTATGATCAAATTTTCTGTAGGGCTGCTGAAGAGGAGTGGATGAGAGAGGCAAGTTCAAACTGCCAACCTTTAGTTTAGTAACTGAAATAAACCATTTGTGCTCATCGGGGACAACTATTTTTATAGGTATAACCAAAAACCCAACTCACTGTCATGGAGTCAATTCTGACTCATAGTGATCCTAAAGCACAGGGTAGAACTGGTAGAACTATCTCTGTGGGTTTACGAGACTGTAACTGTTTACAGAAGTGGGGAGTAGAAAGCCTCATCTTTCCCCCAAGGAGTAGCTGGTGGATTCAAACTGCTAACCTTGTGGTGAACAGCCTAATGATTAAGCCTAGAGGTATACCACTTAAGTTCCAGTTTTATAGGAAGAACAACAAAACAAAATTCTCAAACTCACAATGCCGACTCATAACAACCAACTATTAATTATAAGATCTTGGTGCAAATTATGTGTGATAATCTCTACAGTTAAGATAATTAACATGGAAGAAGCACACCATCATCAGTCACTAAAGGATTGTGAATCATATAATCTGAAGTCAAAGGAGAGATTGGTATCAGAGCCTAAATGGGAGAATCTGGTTTGCAGAAGGCTGTGGATGACAGTGGAAGCCCAAGATCCATTTGTGGAACTACATAGGAAATAAGCCTCTGGTGAACTCCTTCAATCCACAAGTGGGGAATAGAAGGAAAGTGGTTACTAAACAGAGTGCGTTAGAGATCAAAGGCATAAATTTGACTTAAACAGTTAAAAGTTTGCCAGTAGATCCCCACTATGATGCACACTGGACCTGCTCTGGTTTCCAACATTTTCTGTGGATTTGTTTTGCATTGTTTGTTTTGTTTTTGTTTGCACATATTAGGGTGTATCTCAGAGGTGTTAGGCCATTGGGCCTCTCTTGAAGTTGTGTTTTTTGTTTTTTTTTTCATTTTTTCAGTATATGAAACCCAGGATTGGTGAACTTATAGGGATAGTAAGCAGAATAAGGGATTCGGGGGGAGGTGGGTACAGTGGTGGTGGCAGAGTGAAGGGAAGACAATGTCAAGGGTCCATGTAGAAAAGGCATGTTTGGAAACTGTGGTAGCAAATGTACAATTCCACTGGATGAGACTGAAGTATGAAATGATGTATGCATTAATTCCAAATTAATAATAAAAAATAAAACAAGGAAAAGATATTTTTTTGCACTTCATATTACTCCATTCAGGCAAATTTGTCAGATCTCTTTTCTCCATATATTCCCATCTTAAACAAGCATTGTTTTTAACTTTAAGTATATTGTAATTGATTTAAATATAAATATGGTCTATGTCTTTTAAGAAATGCCTATTTTCTAATATTGTGAAGGATGAAGGCTTGTAAAAGATTAAAAATCAGCAAATCTGTCACCCCTCAGCCCCCACCAACACTTCTTATAAGCCAAGGACTCAGAAGGACTTTCACATAAACTCTCCCATTCAGAGAATAAACATCAAAGCTTGAGAAGAAAGAATTTGAACTTGTTGTTAGTTTCCTGGGATTTATTTGGAAATTATCCTTTTCCCTTTTAGTTCTTACACTTTAATTTTTCTGTCAGGAATAAGAATGAGGCATTGTTCTAATACCAAGATCACAAGGGAAACATGTTGTTACAATCTTTGAATTTTCAGATCAGGACTTTCTAACTAATAAAGACACTGCTGAACCTTGAGGCTTTATCTGACAGACCACCATACTGTTCTATATTGTTGAACCCCAATATCTGCCTTTAACACTGTTGGTCTTTTTTTTTTGGCTTCTTTGTGGGAGGAAGTCTGATCCCAAGTGGTACTATCTCCTTTCTTGTCATCATCACCAGGCCATTTATTTCACCATCTCTGTTAAATATAATTTGGATAACTATATACATCCAATAGTTGTGATAACTAAGAATTGTTTAACTCACGCTTTAGTGTCCTTATAATTTTTAGACATGACATAATTAATATCCTTTAATTATCCAATAAAATATGTAATGACATATACTCATAATTCAGTGTTAAGAAAAATTTGAAAGGAGCTGAGATATTTTGTCATCACCTGCCTGTCAATTTTATCATTGTGGTTTGCATGTTGGTAAAGTGCTTGAAGCTGTGCCACTGATATTTTAATACCACCAGGGTTACTCATAGTGGACAAATTTCAGTGGAACTTCCAGATTAAGACAGGATAGTGTTGGTAATCTACTTCTGAAAATTAGCCAATGTAAACCTATGGATCAAAACAGAATATTCATTGTCCAACTTGTTTGTTTTAGATATGTCATTAGAGAAGTCAATCATTGTAAAAGAACATACCTAAAGTAGAAGGGAGTCCTATTGTCACAATAGCTGCAGTTATGGATTCAAACAGTGGCAATATGAGGATGATGAGTGATATTTATTCTGTTACATATAAGGTTTGTCATGGGTCAGAGTCAACGTGATGGCAACTAACATATTTTATTACACAAACATGAGTGTAATAGGACATATTTATAGGTCTTGAATAATTTTAACTATACTTTCTTCTTTAAGTATTTACTTTACTGATACAAATGTTTTGAATGGTAGAGGGGAGTAAGAATTCTGGAGTGAAATTAGGAGTAAGGGTGAAGGATGGAGATTATAGAAATATGGGTAGGAAAATCTCTGGATTTCATAGAAGTACTTTTAACAATGAAGAAAGGTATTTCAGGCAACAAAATGGCAAAATTATCGTTAAGATCACATACACGTAAAATTTTGTTGAAGATCATTTTAAATGGTTGCAGCAATACATGAACAGGGAGCTACCTGAATTGCAAGCTGGAGTCCCAAGAGGATTGCTGACACCCATCGTTCTTGGCCCAAATCAGAGAATACCCGGAAGATGTTTACATTAGTTTTACTGACTCTGCAAAGGTATCTAACTACGTGGATTATAATAAATTATAGCTAATATTGAAAACAATGGACTGTAGAACATTAGTTGTGCTCATGAGGAGCCTCCCATTGGCCAAGAAGCAGTAATTTAAGTAGAATAAGGGAATACTCCCTCTTTTAAGGTCAGGAAAAATACATGTCAGGGTTGTATACTTACTCAATTTGTATGTTGAACAAATAATCCGAGAAGCAAGACAAGGTAAAAAAATGCTGCAGGATTGGAGGAAAGCTCATCAATAACCTGAAACATGCAATGACCCAACCTTGTTTGCTGAAATTGAAGAAGACTTGGAACATTTACTGATAAAGATCAAAGACTACACCTTCCCTCTGGGTTAAATCTCAACATAAAGAAAATGAAAA